TTCTTAAGAGAAGAACAATAGTATTATATACGTATTTATGTTTTTTCCTCTATAAAAGACATTTTGAAACAGTGTAGGATGCATGTTTAGAACATCTATATCACAGAAAAGAATGAGACCTGCATAAACAAATGCCAATTACAAATTGATTAATCTCAAGATAAAGCTTTTCAAAAGACTTTAACTCTTTAGACCACTGCCATTACAATCATGCCCTTTACCAAAACACACTGTAAAATTTCATTTAGCCCATCTAATGAAATAAACACATCATCTATAGTTTTATAAACAAGTGTTTAAGTGTTGAAATTGGACAGTGTTTATCCCTCAGACCTCATCGTACAACTTCTCATATCTGTCTCTGCTTCAGGCCCCCATTAAGAGCAAACATATTCCACAAAGGTCAAGGAATAACAGCACTTCCAACACACTGAAAGCATAATATACTGCATTGCCATAATGAATGTTGCATTGGAGCAGGAAATCAATCCATCTAAAAGTCTCTCGGGCAGGGATTAAGGGGAGCGAAGCAGAGACAGAATAAAAAGCCAGGTGAGTTTGGTGAGTGGACACTGACCTCCAGCAGAGCATTGCCTTGTCGGCATTCGAGATTGGCAATCTCCTTGGAATAACCAACAGAAAAAGAGGGAAAAGGAAAGGGGGTAGTCAGCGCTCCTCATACTGAAGTCAAGGCCCATAGCGCCTGTCAGTAGCAGTTGAGCTGCTGCATCTTTTATGAGAAAAGCCCTGTTGCTTATTACAATATTTACAGACGTTTAAAGATTGCAAGGCGAATGTTGTTGCTGCATTCGATGGCTCGGTGGCCTTCGCTCACTGGCCCTGACAGAAGATTTTATTCTGGATTTGTAAAAATGAATCACAGCACGAAGCTGCAAGGAGACTGAGGATTGTGTTCCCTGACTCAGTGTTCAGTTAAAACAGAACACAAAAAAAAGATCATGAATTTGTTTGATTTCATTAGCAACCATGCAGCAGTCATTATTTGCTACACTGATGTCTGCTAAATCAGTAATGTCATCACAGCGTGTTGTGTACGTCCCGTCCATGTCACTTCTGCAGCTCTGTTTATAGTCTGTAAGTGAATTTCACCCATCTGTTTCCTCGGGGGGGATGCTGTCCTACAGCAGTGCTGTGATCTTTGACACCTTCCATAAGGCACACACACAATATGGAGACGTTAAGATGCACTCACACTTCCAGTCGTTTTAAAGAGGGAACAGAAAAGCAAACAAACCCAAGCTTAGTTTAATCAATGCCATTGCCTTTCAGGTGTAATCTAAGTGAACAGCAGTCTCAGTCTCATATTAATGCCGTATCATTTTGGTTTGATGCATATGCTTGTGTTCCAGCTATTCCTGTTTGCTTCCTTCCTTCTCTCTTTATTTTATTAGCAGGGCGACCCACTGAGGAACGCTATCCATCAGTCTAGCTCAGAGGGAGAAAAAAATAAAAACTTGAATAAATATTTCATTAGATTATTCTGTGATTTAATGTGCTTCTGCTTGGCTGGGGTCTGCAGCGATATCTCTGGTCCATTTATAAATGCATTAACAGGATGATACCCGACAATAGCTTATTATTGATACCATAGCAGAGCTGGCCGGCAGATTGAAGAAGTGTGGGGTTTGTTTCATCTGTCTGTCTGCTGTGAGGAATCTCACCTAGGAGGATAAAAAAAAACCTCTTCTCCCTCTCCCTCTCCCTCTCCCTCTCCCTCTCTCTCTTTTGAAAGCGTGTTACTTAACTGAACAAGGCGAGATCAGTCAATCTTGACAGAACTCTCTGGATAAAATCTGACATATAGAACAAAATATTCTACAGAGACAGAGATTATGCATGGCTCTGATTGAAAACAAAAAAGTCTTTAAGTGAACTGTGAAAAAAGCACTAGTAATAAAATGATATAAATTAAATCAGAAGATTAAAAAACTGAACACAGAAGATCACAAGGCTGTCAATTAAAGCCTTAACTCTGCATCATGCATGTGCACAGACATACAAGTGTATGTTCTGCATGTGCTATAATTGGAAGCTAATTAGAGCCAAAGGGAGAACTTTTCACCGTCTAAGATAAATTTAACATCAGAAAATCCTTTACCTATTAATACCAATCGGGTGGCAATAATTGGCAGGCCATCGGCAGCTTCTTGGGCAGAATTAATCATTTGAAGAGGCAGACTAGACTGAATTTTTAATTGGCAGAGGCAGCCACTGTTTAGGGAGGCAACCAGCTGATCACCCAAGAGACTGCTGCTTCAGACAATGCACATTTGCTAATCCTCTTGAGTCAAGTTATTATGGCCATGCATTATTATGACGCTTTACAAACTAATTCCCATGTTTTCCCTCATGGATTACCGAGAGGGGGGAAATAGATGCACAAAAAAAGAGAGAAGAATAAACAATGAGCGATGTGCATGAAAGGCAAATGACAGAATAAGTGCAATGATGCTAAAGCACCATACTTAAATGATACTGTGTGTGTGTGTGTGTGTGTGTGTGTGTGTGTGTGCGTGTGCGTGTGCGTGTGCGTGTGCGTGTGTGTGTGCGTGTGACACTCTGTATCCATACTTACAATCCTTTTCTGCAAAATAACATGATACTCCAAAAGATAACTTCATCACAGATCATTGAGGGATTGTTTTTCTAATGTTAATCTTGTGACAAAACTTTGAGACATTTTTATGTCTCAACAAAACTTAACTTAATGAATGAGTTGTTTGTATGTTCATTAATACATTTAAAGAAAATATTTTTTTTTTCCCACATTTAACTGAATGTAAAAAAAGTAGCTGCATCCAAACAAGTTCATGTTTTAGATTTTTTTTTTTAAAAAGCCTAAAATGTATTTTCCCTAACACCAACATCAGGTGGAGCCAATCAAGGGGGAAAATACTGCAATCATTATGCAACACAGTGCAATGACATTTTAGTATATGTGTGCACACACATGCACAAGTCAACAGATAGCGCTGAATGCCAAATGAGAGCGGCTCTGAAAAAATGTCTTCCCTTCTACACATCAGCCATATCAACTGCAGCATCAGGAGTGTTTGCTATTCAGGCATGTGGCTTCATGAAATATGTAGCTAATAGAAGCTATGATAGCATAATGTTATTGTACATACAGTATGTGATCCCCAAACATAAAAAATGTTTTATCCTTAGGCGAGTAGATATTTTGGATCAGCTGCTTATTTCAACCTGAAATTAATATTAATATTTTTAGATATTTTATTAATCCATTCTTAGTTCCCTTATATTATGCCATTAATAGAAATCTAATCTGAAGGTGCTTTTGTGCCAATACTCTATTCTTTGTCATTGAAACTGTGCAACCAGTCCCAAAATGTCAATCCATAAAACTTCATTTTAAAAAAGCTATTTCTAAAACAGAGGCTCTGTGACAGTTGCAGACAACCTTTGTAATGCTAACACATGTATTATCTTGTGGATGTGATTTTATGTCGTCGAAGACATGACATTATTTGCAATATTTGCAAATGGCATTTTCATTATTGAAAGAGATTGTCATTCGTCATTTCTAAATGTCACAGCAATAAAAGGCTTATCTCCTGTACTAACGTCGCTCACATATCAACATCTGCTCTGCAGCAGAGCAAGACGGAGATCCAAGGAGGGGGATTACATTAGGGAAAGAAACTTTTCTCCAAATACTTGGACAGAATAATAGTCACGCCTATGGTGCTTTATAAAACATACATTTTACCATTCATGTTATGTTAGACAATAAGACAGTGTGATTTTCTCCCTTTGAATCATGAATATGATGAATGTTGAAAACAGCATCAGTTTATTGGCCTGAAATGGTAAAAATATATTCTTGCAGTATCACTGATTCCTAATATTATGTTTTTTATTATTATGCAATTCTCCTAATGTATGCAGAATTCCCTAAGCTTATATCAACCATTAGCCTACAGCCAATGAATTTCTTACACCATGCTGACTTCAAATACAAGTGCAACGTGATCAACTCTAAGTTGGTTCAAAGTGATGATGGTGTTGATGACGTCCACACTGCGTGTGTATTACACTGTGGGGGGCTACCACATAATGCGAAATGGGTTTCCCATCCAGACAGTGATATAGCCTACACAGTTCACCCCAAAACAAATGTCATTATTGGGGCTGCAAGTTGTAAGAGTGTGCAGCAAGCTGAGTGAATTTACACCCTCTGCCTTCATTTGAGCAGAAGCAACGCAGCAGCTCTGCCCACTCCTCATGGCCACGTCCGTCATCTTGCGACAGTTCTTGCGCCCTTTGGAGACGCTGTGGTTGTTGGACACTGAACTGATTTTACCGTGGCGGATTTGCACATCGTCCCATCGCACATGGGGAGAGATGTAAAAGAAAGCATATGGATGAATAAATGATGCCGCCCCTCCGCGGAAGACGGGACTGGCAGGAGAAGGCTCTTTAAAAATGCATATTTTCCAAGCGCCTCTGCCCCACTTAACAGTGTGTTAAGGAAAGACTTTCCAATAGCAATGAATTACAGAGCAAGGCCAACACATTTAGCCACCAAAACATTCCTGCTAATGCAAACGATCATGAGCTTGAATATACCATCTTGTTGAGTGTGTTGTGGGGGGGAAAAAAATGTGGAATAAACAAGATTGAACTACAAATATGAGTCTTTACAAATCTAATAGGATTTTAGCTTTAACAGACAATGAATCAAGCATGGGACAAAATTATAAAAATAAAAAATAAAAAAAATGATGGATACAACATATATATTAGCAACGATGCGCACAAGATTTACTACAAGACAAATCAGATCTGGATAAAACCGGAAAAACCGTAAGAAAAGTCGCGTGTACCCGTATTTTCGCGCCACCATTTCAACACAGGTTATGACTTGTAAATGTAGCCTATATTTAAAAAATAATAATAATAAGCAGTTAGCAAACTCTATACAGGGCCTCGCAGCCCCTGGAGGTGCGACACGTTACCTTTGTGCATGCCGGTGTATCGGTCCTTGAGAACTGTCAGTTCGTGGATTTTCCCAAACTGTTCAAACAGAGGTTTCAGGTCTTTTTCCTCCAAGTTCCGCGGTATCTGCCCGATAAACAGCTTAATGGCATCTTGGTCCTTCATGTTGCCGCTCTCCGGATGAATTGAAATGGATTCTGACCCGTTCATGGGTTTCGGGAATGTGATCTGAGGGTACTGGTGCTGATGTGGGATCAGTAGTAGTGGTGGTTGGGTCGGTGGTGCCCCCGGTCCGGTAAAAACCAGGCTGGAGTGAGCGGGTTGGGGCTGCTGTGGATGGTGCTGCCTTCTTGTTTCAGTCTGAGTGAATCTGGCCATTCTGAGCTGGGAGCAGAGTGGATAATAATGACAACACATACACACACACACTGTGAGAGAGCAAGCACTCAGCTGGAAACCAGGCTGACTTTCTATCCGACACACAACACACACGCACACACAGCACGAGGCAGAGGGGGGGTGAGACTGGCGAAATAAGCGCGCAGGAGCGCTATTAGACACTCTGCGGCGACACCCAGTGTCCGATGTGTGATACAGCATCTTGTTAATGGTAGTTCCACAGTTTTTTTTTTTTATCATCTAGCCTACACGGTCTGACCCGGTTTTTTTTTCATATAGCCTAGGCCTACTACCGTATAGGCTATATGTTAGAATTTGTTTTATAGTGATTTCCTTCTTAACCCTTGCGGCATCACTGCAGCACATCATTTACCTTAGCAAACCTGCTACCAAAAATGACAGTGTCCCATAGTCCCCTTCCAGAGATGACATTTTACTCATATAAAGGCTTCAAAAGCACTAAGTTACTAATTACATTAACGATAGCTCCTTTCCATCTAGGAGTAGGCTATTAGTGCCTAACAGCATCATTAAAATGATTATTTACAACAGTTAATTTTCTACCGTTGCATGTCAAATGGTCATCCAATTAAAAAAAAAAAGCCTATTGTATTGGAAGTAGGCTATGTAAAACCCCTCAATTCTCATCTTTCTTGAATGAAATCAAAATGAGCCAGCATTGAGTTGAGAATTGGTTTTACTAGTTCCTATACATTGTTAATACGTTGAATTATTGATGTTCACAGTAGTACCGTGGTACTGCTGGTATTACATGGTAGTCTAATTATGAAGACCAAAGCTGACTTAAAATCAATAAAAAAATTATGAATAAAAGTACATTTAAAATGCAGAATCTTTGTAGATAGACAATAGTTTTGCTCAATTGTGTGGTAGACATTTAAAGAACGGTATTGGCTGGATAGTGCTAAACAGCCAAACAGCTAGAAACTCTTACAGTAGTATACCTATATAAATATAAGTTCTAAAGTCTTAATGGAAAAAGAACAACACTGGCATATAGATGTCAGAAATCCAACTTCAAATCTTTAAATTCACTATGAAAATAAAGGCAAAAATCTCAGAGTAGTCATCAAGAAGCTTAACAGCTTTGGAAAGCTAAATAAAAACATGCAAATAAGCTGAAGAAAATGTTTAATATTTTCAGACATTGTTAGTCTGGACACTTTTGTTGCTAAAAAGCCTCACACAAGCTGTTGTAGCCACCAATGTGGCTGTACTAGAAAAGGAGACAGATCAATGCAGGCTTTTTGCTTTGCCCCTGGATTTTTTTTCCAACAGTTCAATTCAAAGGACTTTTATTGGCATGAAAGTTTCAGAAACAATGTTCTCAATGCCAACAATGTTTTTAGCTCTGGTGCCAAGATTTTGTGTTACAGATGGGCATGCACTATAAAGTTTCATAGAGCTTAACTATATGAAGTTTAGTGTCAGTAAGGGAAGCAAAGTAAAAGTACTGATTGCTGCCTTTTTTTATTTTATTTATTTTTTTAGTGTTGATAGTGCTAAAATGTACACCATATTAAAAGTAAGAATTGTGTTTAATTGGCATGTACTTCTACTACATTGAAATATAGAAGTTAAACTTGCATGCTGCACAGCCAATGCCGCTGCAAGAGAAAAATGCCCCATTTATAAGTTAATAGTATTGCTATCAGTAATCTGTCATTAGATTGAGTCCAGAGACCTGTAAACATTAACCACAATTAGGAGACTTACTGTAAGTACTTTTCAAATAGCAGACAAGCTAATCCCCCAAGAGGGAGAGTATTTGCATCATTTGCCTTCTCTTTGCAGATACAGCAGTGAACAGCTCTCAGATTAACATCCAACACACACACATAAATGCGTACAACTGTAACTGAAAGGACAAAAACACAGATAAATAAAATGTTAATGCAGGAAAGGAAGCGTAGTTTGACATGCAACCTAGCCACAAACCACCTTTTAACTAAAACACATCCGCTGGACAGATTTCTAATTAAAGCCTATTTAACAGTGGATTAAATAAAGTGATATACACTGTCTGTGACAGCAGGCTCAAGGCTGCAAGGTGGGATCAATACGGCTGCTGGCTGCTTCTCTTGCTATGGAGGAGCAGCACCACATGGGGTCCTCTCACACAACTTAAACTTAAGAATGGCTGTATCTCTGTGTTAGACATCTCCTTCAGCTGCCTTTGTGCTCCAAAGTCAGCAGCACACCTGTAAAGCAAGGAAAGGGTCACATCCAAAGGGCCTTGTTTCAGCATGCTGTAAGCTCAGGGTTGGGAAGTTTGGAGGAACAAGTTTGTTTTCACATTGAGGAAAATAGCAATCATTTCAGCTTTATTGAACTCTGCTCATAATATTTCTGTCTGCAAAGCTCAATAAGTGCAACTGTGGAGGGAGAGACATCAGCTAGCAGGGGTACACATTGACATTAGCAGTCAATAAAACAGCGGGTGGTAGCTACACGCACACTGGGCATGTTTTATTGTAAACTCGTTCTTTTGAAATGTGAATGCTTGTCTTTGAAGCAGTAGATCCCACAGTGCTGTGCTAGTCACAGCTGCTAAAACTGCTGTTTATTGTCGATTTGCGGGCTGAAGTCACAGTGTTATTTTATGCTTCGTTCATCATGTCATAAATTTATTGATCAAAAGAGGCAGGGTTCTCGCTGAATGTGGCGTCTAAGTGTGAGTTAGAGGAGACAGAATTTCAGTAGATGTGTTCTGTGGAGGTCCCAGCCAGTTAGCCATCTCATTACTGAACCGAGGAAACAAATGCCGACTAGGATGCATTGAATAAGAGTACTGAGCTGTCATGGCACTGGCCTGGACACCAAGGGAGTTAAAGGGTCTATTTTTAGGGATGTGATCAGCCCAGGGGGGAGGGGGTATTCAGAACTTCCACTTCATGGTTTTTTATTGACCAGTGCCATTAGTGTTTCACCCAGGCTGAAGGCAGAGACAAGAAATCAATAAAGGTTACACAATTAGTGTGAACTAAAAAGTTACATACAATTTAACTGGCTGGCGTTCATTCTGCTGCTTGTTAACCAGGCTGGACCCTGATGGGAGGCAGCTCGTCTGGATGTGTTCAGCTTGGGAAGTCTGGGAGGCCCAGAGGGAGACAGAGGCAGCTGAGGGAGTCATTTTGCATTCTGTGTGCACCACTTGTAGACATACAGTGAAGACAGGCAGCCAGACATGCTCTCACACACACACACACACTTCCTAATTACAAAACTCAACATTATTCTGCACGTCCAGTTACTTACTTGCATATTGTTCAAACACAGCAATGGTCATGGGGGAGTAAATCTCAATAAATGTAGAAAACATAAATTAGCTTGCCATACGCCATCTAGTTAAGAGTTAAAGTCAGTGAGCAATTGAAAAGCTGGACAAGATAAAATGTGCAACACATTGCCGTGTTAGGAAGGTGTCTTCTCTGCTTGGCCTGGCATGCTGAAGTTCTAAAAGTGTAGTTGTGGTTTAATAAGCTGTAAGGGTTCGAGGTGTCCCCTGGTGCCTAATTCACCATTGCACTCTGGTTCTGCATTGCAAACCATGTTCGTTCAACTGTAAGGTGCTGTTCAAGAAAATTAGGGTGTGATGCAATGATGGCATATCACACTAGAGACAGTTTTATGGACCACTGAGTTAACAGGCTGATGAGATGTGATAAGAGCAGGCTGAACTGTGGAGTCGATGTGCCGCACCTTTCTTTCTCAGCAGGCCTCAGGTCCCTCGTCAAAAAGTCGGGTAGAGCTCTTTGACATCCATCAGGGAACTTCCATCAAGGATCGCTCTGACAAGTCTTTTTCTACAATGAAGAAACTGAATTGAAGTTCCAATATAAATAATTGCAGGGATAATTAAAAAGTGCATAAACTATTCAAGCATTTGAGCACACATGTCTCATATATTCTGTATTCCAATTGCATGGTTGCTGTGGGTGAGAAGGGGGGAAGGACTCCATCTTTATTTGTGCTTACTGTAACCTGTTTTAATAATTATGACCCATGCAAGCCTTGAAGTGATGCATTCTTGAAAGATGCCAATATTGTGTTACATCTGATAAAAAATGGTATCAGTTTATTTGTGCATTACTTACAGCATTACACAGTTATCCCAGGATTCATTTAATTTGATTGTGGTTGGTTTGTGGTACCTGGCTGATCTACAGTGGTGGACTAACGTTTACCTACACAAGTAACACATAAGTACAATTTTAAAGGTACCTCAGTTGATTTAAGGAATATTTTTTATTCTGTTACTGTAATAGTTAATCTCTACAACATTTGAAAGGCAAATGCTATGTATTACACCATGGTCTGGGTAAGTGCTTGATTTCCATTGACTGCAGGGTGTCAATTATTTCCTGACAGTCAACACATTATAAGATTTTTTCAAAGCCACCTTCTGCAATTTTTGCAGTTTGTTAATATCTGTTACAATGATGTGCGACTTCAACATATACATCAGAGGGAGAGACTTGTTTCATCCTCCACACCAATGGATGACGTCATGTTAAAAACAAGCTGCAAGAAGAACACTTTCACTCTGAACTTCCTGATACTGTGGATCACGTAAGCAAACACCTCTTTTGTACTTCAAATCTACTTCAGGCTGTTCCCAACTGTAAATATGGAAGCAGTTGTTAATTAAAATCTTGATATTGATCTGGTCACAATGAAATACAGAAAATAGTTAGCTAGCTAGTCATGTTGTTAAACCTATTGTTGAATAATAACTTCTGTATGTCAGCCATAGATATGCCATGTTATTGATGTTTTTTTTTTTTTTGTTAGCCTTGCTAGCATACTATTAGCTCTCTAAGCTTGGCCAAGTTATATCATTATGTTATCTGGTGTGGTAGTAAAACCCTTAAGGGGTACCATGGATGCCTTTAAATAACTTAAGAAAAATAAAAAAAAACGGGTTGTTACTGTTAAATTGGAACTCCCAACAGGTCAGGCCTCCAACTGTCATCAAAGTATGTAGCGTTTTGTGAAAAATATCCCTTGGAGTTTAGACATCATATAGAACAAATTATCTAGGTTAGCATCAAGCTAGTTAGCAG